CACCAGCTGTTGTTGATATAAGCACAGAGCCCACCACCCCGAGTCTTACCGCTTAGTTCTTTGTTTCTATTGGCATGGCATAGCGTTAAGGCTGATTTATACTTCGAAACCAGGTCCTCTGCATAGGTGTCGCAGCGAACAAAAAGACGTCCCTGCCCCCTCTGCAGACACACTGCTGCACCTCTCCCAAATTGTAACTGACCGCGGACAGTGCTGCAGACAGGAGGTCGCTTAGTTCTTTGTTATTACCGAAATTGCGGAAAACAACTCGTGAAGTTGGACTAGCTAAAAGAGCGAGGTGCGCAAGAACGCTGGGACCCTTTTTCTACCTGCATCCCTGCTATTTTTCGGCGTCATGTCTCTCCGTTGTCGCACAAACTCGCCCCCCACTTCCTCATTGTGCAGATTTATTAAGCATAAATAAAAAATGTCTGCGTCAAGCTCACTGCGACACACTGCTGCAGGAGTATAACCAGCCCTTTAGCCCTCCCAGGCTAATAGCATTGTCCGGTATTGCTGGATGCAGCCATGACTGTCAGAATGATGGCGCAGCAGTTACATATCTCCTTTTTTGAGGAGAGTTCCATTTGGAGATTACGTATCTATTTTGTTTTCCAACGAGCGGACGGTGGAGATTTATGGAAGCGGCGGTCTGTAGGGATTTCTGTATCATTCAACATACATTAGTCTAATCTGTGTTATTATCGTAAAAAATATGACAGTGTATCAAGTAAAAAGGCTGAACAGACTGTAAACAGGGTTTGGTGAATGTTAATATTTGATCAATTTGACTTTAATTCATTAAAACAAAACACACCAGAATTGGGTAAAAGTTTTATCACTGATTGAACAGATCTGTTTAATGATTTTAAATCTCATGGAATGGGCTCTATGCACAGCTCCACTACTTCCTGAATTTAAGGCAGCTCCTTTTTAAGACAGGAAGTCTTTCATTACTGGACGAACTGATTAATCCAGGTGTGTCTGGCCAGTTACTTAGGTCATACACACCTGGATTAATCAGTGCATCCAATCATGAAAGACAGGAAACAAAGGAGCTGCCTTAAATTCAAGTAGTGGAGCTGTGCATAGAGCCTATTGAAACAGGGCTGGACTGAAACAAACTTCTGGCTGGGGCTTTTTGAGGAAAGACAGGCCCACCTGGTACTGATTAAACAACAGCCTACGAATGGAAACAAACTTTCTTGTGACAGTGCTTGCATACTGTTATTTTAGTGCTTTTATTCCATAAAAGGCTGCTTGTTCTAGTTTAGCTCTTGAGTAATGTATGCACTATAATAACAACTTTAAACCTGGACAGAGAAGAATAGAAGTAAAAAAATATATTATTGATGAATACTCAAATGCTTAGTTGACTGAATGTGACAATGATATTTTGACTATGTGCTCAACACATCTTTTGGTCTCTCTGCCTTGTTTTTCAAACTTTTTTCCTTATCTTTTGTCTCTTTCTGTTCTGTTCTTTAACCTCTCTTACTTTCCTAATTACTGCCCCACTAGGGAGTGTGGATCAGCCTGCTGTAGCACATACAGCAAGTACTGTCATTAATAATTTAAGTAATAAAGAGATCCCATACAATATGGTGATTAAAAAAATAAACTAAACTACTGTCAAATTACTATTTTTTACAAGAAAAAGTAACCCAGATGAATGAGATAATTTAACAAGTGTATTTTACTGTTTCCAAGTTAAAGTAGGTTAGCCCTATAACCATATAATAATGCAATATCATGGCAACAATCTGTAGGGAGATGAATTACCAAAGGGCCTTAAGATAGAAGTATTTTAAACTGAACAGTCCCTTCTTCGCTTTAAAAAAGGTAAAAAATAGTTTACTCGTTTGAACATAATTTTGGGAGGTGATTAAAAAAGTGCTATTTTATTAATAATTCATATATTTTTCAGATTTTTCTTTTTTTAGGTCAAATTATACTGGTAATTGTTTAGGTTAGCAGAAATGACTTTAATACGGAAGCCGATAGCAGTCGTACTCGACTTTTTAGTTTTCCTTTGCCTTCTCGAGATAGCGACATAACTATCTCATTGTCATGGTTAATGCTTATTACCATTATTTGTTTTCTCTAGATAACAAAATAATTATCTCGTTATAATAATGAAAATCTTGAATCTGGACTCATTTTGGGGGTTAATGCATCTTATACCTTTTACAGGCGTAACACGGGACTGTTCAGAAAACGCCAGGTGCTGAGAAGCCAAAGGCATAGGTCTAGTTGCTTATGAATCAGAAGTGGAAGCAAATCATAAAACCAACAACATCGTCTTGTTACCTAAAAGTTATTTGCAGGATTACTTACAGAATTACACATAGGCTTCCATGACTATACCGCTGCTGTGGTATTGAAGGATGAAATCCGTTTTAACACACAACAATCATCTCGTTACCACGAGAAAACAGCTTTAGTTGTCTTTAGATAATGAGAAAATTAACATGAGAAAACCAAAGTGAAAAAGAATGGGAGGGACATGACCGCTATAGGCTTCTGTACTTGAGGTTACTGGGGTTTATTATTGTTATTTTAAATTAATTCAATTCAATTCAGTTTATTTATATAGCGCCAAATTCACAACACATGACATCTCAAGGCACTTTACAGTTCAATCTCAAGGCACTTTACAGTTCAAAATTTTAAGAGAACAGTAAACATTTGTTGGCGGGAACACATTTATTTGGCTAACCTCAATGCTTTAGAAACTCATAAAAATAATATTCTTAATACATATCTTTCATATGGCATTAAAACATGGATGTCTTCATTTTGTCTTTTTGTGGTTTTCTTTATGTGAAAATCTTTTAATTAAGCCTGTTTGGCATGGGGTGACCTGGATTCGGGGGGTCATTCTGAAGCACTTTGCCTATGTTGTTGGATCTGAAGTCAGGTTTTATATCCTCAGATAGAAATTGCTCAGAGTGGATTTTCACAAATGTATAAATCAAATCAAGTAGAAAGATGAGTACAATCATTGTACAAAATGGCTTTGATTCTAGGGAGGCCTTATCAAACGTCTACAAGGGGAACTACACACTAGGGAGAGGAGGTGGTTTCAAGCCCAAGAGTTTCAGCGGGCAGAAAGGAAAGTAGTTATTCTCTGTCTGCCTCCAAACAAAAAAGATGCCTTCCTGAAAAAGAAAGATGCCTGGTTCCTATTCAGAACAGGCGTGCATTAGATGTAATGGGTTCTAATATTGATGTTGCCGTACCGTGAAGGACTGTCCACGCTGGAAGGGCATTTCTCCCTCTCGCTCCTCAGAGCCCCACTGCCAAAAAAAACACTGATCATACTGCTTGGTGTTTCGGACCACTTTGATCTCATTGAAATGTGGATTATAATGCAGAGCGATTCCAGACTAGTGGCTGAGGTTCACGTGGAACCTGTGAAGAAACAGAAAACGAGACAAAGTTTTAAACAGGATTTAACTTTAGGCTCAACTCGAACAACATCAAAACATCAGAGTTGAGGTCAGACATTAGGAGGCATTATGTCACTTGACAGAGCAAAGGGTTTGATCTAAAGAGGAAGAAAGGGATATTGAGTTATTGTGTTAATAAATTAACTGGTGGATATCTATACTGGGCAACAAATGCAAAAAGTAAGGAACTGAGGAAGGTTTATGGTCAAACAACCAGAGCTCAAGGCCAGGTGTGCTGCAACTTTTATTAAGTCTCTGTCTCAAAACAACTGAATAGAATAATTACTCATCAGCAGGACACTGGGTAATTTAGCTGTTTCATTCAGGGGAGTTGGACATGGGACTCATCTAAAAGTTGCATGATACCGACTTAGAAGGATGATGGATGGAAACATGGAGGAATGGTAGGGTGGACAAATGTACGGAAGAATAAGTTGACCTTTGTACACGGGACTATGAGCAACTGAGTAGAAAAGGTAGATACGTTGTAAATAACCAATGTGGCCAATGAAGCTATAAAGCAGCAATGTTGAACATTTGACAAGTATAACTGAGCTAAAGAGACATCTGCCAGTTGGCATCAGAAATGACCACCAGCAGAACCTTACAGAAACAGAACTCTTAGCTCTTAACCCTTCAGTTTTGGTTAACCAAACAGTCAGAGTTAATCTGTTTCTTTGATTTTGCTTTTAGAAGTGGATAACAAAGGACCAATGCAATGTTATCTAAATAACATTTTAAATATAATGCTTTTATTTTTTCCATGTCAAAAATGACTAATAAAATCTAGAAAATTATTTACCTTTCGTTTTTTATTGTAGGAGAAAAAAACATAGAAGATTTATTTACACAGAATATTGCAGTCATCAGGGTTATGCCAGATACAGGATGTGGTCACGTAAAGGTCACCAAATGGGACAGAGTTCAGATATTACTGATAAAGTGTTATCTAAAGTGCAGGAGCCTGCGGGCTCCTCCCCGCGGCTCCTTGGGGCTTTGGCATTGTGGTGGCTTGGGGATTTCCTCAGGTCGTCTCTCCTCTTCCCTTGGTGGGGGGGTACATTTCCTCGGTCGGCCCCTCTCGGGTGCCTTTGCTGTGGGGGTCCCTTTGTGCATCTGGGGTTTTGGGTCCCCCGGCACCTGCCTCGGTGTTCTTGGGGGACGGGGCCTTTGGCTCTTCACAACCAATATTGAGTATTTTTCCTTTGGATAAACTTTACCGTATTTTCACGACTATAAGGCGCACCTAAACGTATTTTTTACCCCACAAAATGTGGGGTGCGCCCTATGGTGCGGTGCGCCCTATCTGCGGACGTTGTTGAGACCACCATGAGTATGTGAGAACGTTAAAGGGGGAATTGTGGGCGTGG